ACTCAAGAAATTTCCGTCAGAATCGTGCAACCGGTGTCATCGATACCATAGGAACATTGAAAATTTCGACACCCTCCAAATCATTCTCCGACCCTACGAATTTAGATATTCCCAGAAAGACGCGGATAATTTTTATTATCACTGCCATAGCAAAAATCCAGAACGATCGGCACAAGTTTTTATCGAATCCCTGACTTTCATCAAACCGCCGTCATCCTCTGAAGAATTACTAGATATCCTCATTACGAAAAATTGGAAACGACTGGAAACAACCTCTTTCACCCCTCCATCGGATGAAGATATTGCTAAATTTGTTAAAAAGGTTGAAGATTATCTGCTAAATAAAGCACTCGAAGACGAAAAGAAATTCTGACAACAAAAAGAAAAAGGCAAACAAAGAGCAATCACTTCTGGTAGTAAAACATGAGCTATCGATTCACCAATTCTAGGACCTCTCTACAACCAAACAGTAACTCCACACGATCAAATACAGAATATCCGAAAAAGTTTAGACGGGTATTTTACCAATTACCAAGCTCAAACCGGACATAGGTTTACGCCAGCAGAGCAATACGACTTTGATAACGATCAACCTTTTGGCGATAACCCACAACCAGTAGACCTCGATCGAGTCTTTAGTGTTGAAAAAGAAGACGAAGTAGACCTACAATCGGACGAATTCGAGGAAAAATCAGACGAAGAGTTCGAACAAGCCCTAGAACAGACCGAAGAAAACAACATAATAGTGGATATCGACAATCTATACTTCAACGCTTGGAATCCACAAGCAGACGTACCAGCCTACCAGCCTAATCCTCAACCATACAGACTTCCTTCACCACCACCAGATTTACCACAAAATCCACCAGTAGCACCTCCAGTAGTGCCTCAGCAAATTCCTCCAGTAGCTCCACCACTTCCTCCATTTCAACCTCCACAACAGCAACAGTACCAGGGAGAAGAAATGTCACAAGCATCATACCCCACTTTCGATGGTACCAATCCCCGTAAATGGATTGCCGAACTAGAACTGGCATTCATTGCTAATAATTTGCCAGCAGACACTCATCCGAGAAAAATTGGAATCACAGCCTTACACTTAGGCCCAGCTAAAATGTGGTATGTAACTATGGACAATAAACCTACCACATGGGGAAGAGCAAATGCAAGAGACGGTTTCAAAGAATTGTTTCTAGCCAAGTATGCTACTGATGGCAACCGAACGCAAGCATCCCAACAGGCCTATGCACGTACTCAAAGGAAAACAGAGTCAGTAAATGATTATCTGAATGCCCTGCAGGAAATGTGGTTGGAATGTGGCGATCCAGCAGTCATGCCAGAATGGATGAAAGTAAATCAATTCGTCCATGGACTACTGCCAGCGATAAGAACTCCAGTAATGCAGCAAGCACCAGGAACCATGGCCCAAGCCATTCAATTCGCCAATAATTGTTTCTATGCGATGAGGGCTAGTGTCCAACCATCCCACAGTGCAGAAGTCAATGATGCACTTTTAGAAGAAATTGCGGCGTTAAAGGTTCAAGTGGCAGAGTTGAAGACTTTGCCAGCTAACTCAAACAACAATAATAATAGGGGATATCAACAAGGCAACAACAATAATCGGCGAAATGGACCTAGGTGTCACTATTGTGGAAATAACAGGCATGTACACAGAGAATGCCAAATCAAGACCAGGGACATCAGACAGGGAAGAAAACTCAACTGGGCAGTACCGAGAAAGAACAATCAAGGACAGGGAAAAGGTCAGCCACGTCAGTAGAGGGCTCTGACAGTGGCAATCGAATAAGACCCTCGCATGGAGCAAAGCAGTATGGGGACTCTGACGTTTCAGGACCTACATATTGTAGCGCTTTTGTAGAGGAAGTGGAGAGTAGGATTCTAGTCGATACTGGATCCTCAGTGACGATAATTTCTAGTGAACATTTCGACCTCATCACTGGAAAAATGAAGAAGAAACCTATCCTTGAAAGTTTGAATTATCAGATACAGGGAGTAACCAGACATAGAGAACGACCTAGAGGAGAAGTGAAAAACTTACCATTAAGATTCAAGAAGAACGGACCAACATGGGGACTAAACGCGTGTATAACAGAAGCAGCAACAGCAGATATCATATTAGGCACGAATTTCCTTTTCAGATATAATGCAAAGCTCAATCTAGCAAAGAAAAAGCTTGTTCTGAATAGAGAAGATGGAATGACAGAATCAGTACCTCTGGTAGAAAAGAAGGAAATGAACACTCGCTCGGTCAACGTCATAGAAAAGATGGATTTAGACCCCAATCCAAACTGGAAATGTGAAAAAGGCCCAAAACCAGACCAATGTATACCTGCATACATACCAGAAGACCAAGATGATTATAGAATAAGATGCTCTAAGTGTGCTTCAAGACACGAAGAAGAAGTTTATTACCAAGAAAAGAAGACCCTCTATGAAGAACT